CCAGATGAGCTTCAAGAATTTGAGAATAGAAAATTCATCAGCGTTACAGAGCAGGGGGGGAGGTAGTCCCAGAATCATCTGAATTCAGGTTTGCCCCAACACTGTAAAAACTGACATTGCCATGCTCTGTCGTTGCCTGTTGACATCTCTAAAGTTAACGAAATGGCCTTCGGGGACATAAAATGGATGAACATGGAGGGAAAACATGAAAGTACAGCGTTCTTTTCCTCTATTTACGACGTCGATAGTGATGGATACATGGCAACCATACTGAGCCCTCAACGCGTCTGTGGCGTGAGAAATCGTCTAATTTGCCGACACCGGCCACTCAAATGCCTCTAGTTGCTCCCTTGACGACCATGCGCACGGACCTGCTATTGGCAGGCACCGGTGTATTTCAGTCTCTAGCAATTAACCGATAACAGCTTGTAGGTACAGTTTCGAATATGCATTATATTCCATAGAAATCGTACTGACTGTGAATCTCTGACTTGTTTCTGCGTGACAGTCGATCATTGATACCATGATATCCGCGGTAACAGGGCCAAGCTATAATCTGATTCGTGTTTGACGAATGGTATCAACGAGTTCCGTAAGTATTTCCTAGGTGTCTAGTTCATCATTTGAACACATCCCTCACCTACGATGAAGCACTTCCCATTGGGGTTCCTTTTCCCTCAAGTATGTTGCGTCCTTTGCTATATGCTCATGATGTAAAACTATGATCAGCTGAGATAGGACACGCTTCGCCGGAATATTGTTTTGATGCAACCGTGGTGGCCGTTTGAGACTACGCCCCGCGGATGACTTTCATAGAGCGCATCTTTTATCTTTGCAACGGGCTGTGCGATATACCTCCTTAATGATCTACTTTGGTCATAACGGCGATTGGAAACATATCCTGTCAATTCAAGCTCCGTATGCTCTGCATTAGCGCGCATGCTGCTCCGAAACGTTTAGTGAGTAATTTGCTATCATCATGTAACCACCGTTAATTCACGAAACACAACTTCTTATATAAGAGTCCGCCAAATTGTACTACAGAAAATCATCAGCCCTTATTCTCATTCTCTTTCGAGTCTCGCTCCCTTCAATTCAGCGAAACTTCCTTCCTTTCTTGTCTACTATCCTTTTCATCTCACTAAACGATGTTCGGTACTGCTACTGTGAGCACCGGCTTGTCATTCATCTCCAACTCTATTGATACCTTTCTAGTTCATCGCGCTTTTGACTGCTCTATCCAGCGTCACTGCTTTGCCTTTCAGCGAGCTCGTCGGGATTCTTCCTAGAGATATCGCCCACATTGCAGTCGATGAGGCAAGAGGTCACTACCTCGCTTTCAAGCGCGACGGTTCTCTCTACGGAAGGTATCCTGTCGATGCTCAGTCCAACGGCCTCGAGCGCCGTGCGGCGAGCCAGTGCGGCGCGCTCTCGGTCGATCAAGCCAAAACTCGTCAGTTGCAATTTCTCTTGCATGTTGCATAACGCTGATCGATATTCGTGCAGTGAAGGGGTGGGATGCCATTGTGCAGTATGCCAACACGAACTGGGGTGATGGCTCCCGGAACATCGTTACGAACCCTACGGACGTAAGATCCATATTGTCGCCTCATATAGCTATTCTCTAACCATCCTTCCAGTACGTCGACAGCCCTGCACAGGTCTGTATCACTGACGAGGTCGTCGAGCTCTCTTTCTCTGGTACGTTCGACCTTGTGATCCCTTTCGATCTTTATTCTGAGTCGTGAACAGGCGACCCTGTCTGCCAGACGCACACCACCTCTTCTGCGGGTAGCCTCGTTGGTACGCAGGGTGAAGTCGATATCGAAGTTGACCAAGGCTTCAACACCGATACTTCTTACACCGTCACTAGTATGTCTTCTGATTTATCTCTTGGCCATCCGATTATTGATCTGATATGCAGGTGCTTCGACTATTGGCGTTTCCGAAACAATGTCCGTCAAAATCGGTGTTCCAGAGGTAGCCGAAGTGACTGAAGCCCTGACCATTTCTGCTGAGGTTACCGATACGACCTCGACCACGTACGTTGTACCGTCTTTGATGCTACATCACGTATACTTAGACAATCATTAGCTTCGACGTATCCTACAACGACGTGAGCAAGGTCACTATCAAGATGACTGCTCCCGAGGGCAAGAGTTGTACCGCTACGGTCATTTTCTTTTCGGCCTCGGATACCAGTTGACTGACTCCCCCGTCTTAGACTACCACCAAGACGTGTAACATCCAAGCGACCGGAAATATCCGCTATCTCGCGAGCGGTTGGATTTGGTTCAACTACAACGACAAGACTCAGGGTCACTACAAATGTTCGTACATATCTGCAACTGTTTATGGGGTCTGACATATGATTTCAGGGGCTGCTAACATCGAGACGGTCCTCACGAACCAGGATGATCGCTCTAGCTTTGCCGCATTCAAGGGCTCTATGGCCGCAGACACGCAGACCAGCTATGCCGGCAGCTGTCAGTGAATTTAATGTCACAATCGGTGGCCGTACAGGTCAAGTGTAGTAAAGCTGCAAATACTGTCGACTTCTATTCGTTAGTCTATCAGGCATTGATGGACTTTATTTATTCTTCTACGCACAATATTGTATACCAGCAATACACATACACAACTTCTGGATATTCACATGCACGGTTGGAATATCTCCAAACCTCGCCCGAGCATAGATTTTCCACTTCTCAGCTACCCCTGTTTTCTCCTCTGAAGACCTGAGACTTAAAAATGTGAAAGGTTGCTCAAATACGGGATTAAAAAATAAAAATAACGCCAATGTCAGCATCTTGAACCTCAACAAGAACGTCGAAGGGGTTTAGAGCTATATGTAGGTGGAGAAACCTCGGATGTTCGGACAGGCAGGTGAGGTTCTTGAACAGGTCATATGGCGAGGAGAAGAGGGCCGGCGGCTATCCGGTGGAAGAATGCATTGAAGAAATGGTTGTGTGCGCGGCATTATCGGGAACAGATGCAACTGTAAACAGCTAGAGGAAGATACGTAAATCTGGATGAGACAGGCGGTGGAAGAGATATTCTTCGAACTGTGGCATCACTTCTGACCGGAACCCCCAATGATGTCAGGCGAAAAGAAGTCAGGTAGAAATTGTCTTCCGAGCTGAAAAAACATTCTTCAGCTACATGTCTATCTGCAGGGAATTATAGGGAGGATACTGTTTCTGACCTGATGGAAGCTGTACATGATAGCAGGCACGCACGGTCAATTTGACTAAGAATAAGGGGTTGGGTGCGCTGTATTATCGGGAATAGAAGTGATCGCACGAATTATAGGAAGATCAATAAATGTTGACTAGACAGGGCACAGAACCGCCCATAAGTGACCCATTCTGCTGGAGCTCAGGGTGGAGCATCGCTGACACAGACATCACAGAAGCCTTCCGGGAGCCTGATGTTATATGGGTATAAATGCTACTGAGAAAGAATCAGCTCGACCTCATTGTATGACAAAAGTCACGCACCAAAATTGCACACTCAGCGGAAGCACCCACAAGGAAGATATTCTGCTTCTTCAGTTCAAGATGTAGTATGGCTGACACACCTGACGGAAGACTTTGGCACGTTGGACGTAGTATTCCTTCGCTAAAGGTAGTGAAGGGCGAGGGTAACTGGATCTATGCGGAGTCGTGCCAAAGGAGTCAGGATGACTAGGTGTGAGAGGGACAAACGTTCGACAGTGATAGGCTGGAATAGTATACTGGTAGACATGTGGTTCTCGTGTAAGTGATGAAGAAAATATGACGAGTGCACAGAGCGCATTTACACCACAGCAAATGTCCTTGGCGATAGTATCATCGGATCGCTGAGCCGTTCAAAAAGACGTTGGCGAGCGTCCTGTTCCCTCTGGGCGCTGATGATTCATCAAGGGTGGGTGAAGAATAAGTTTACCGGTGCGTTCTATAACTGCGCAGATGAGTGTAAGGGCGCAAAGTGCGGAGAATCAGTCAGTGATCCTAAATGACTAATTGTAACCGACGCTGAATCAGTGATTTGCGATGCCCAATGGTAATGCTAATTATGTCGTACCTGAAAAGAGGTCATCTAGGCATAAAAACCGTAAATGAATGCACACAAGTGTACTCAAGTCAATAGACGCGTGCGTCCATATCGCCATCACTATAATGAAGAACGAGGCTATCCGCAGTAGAGGTGACATAAGTTTGACAGACCGGATTCCCTGTACGAACATTATAGTGGAATCAATGGGAAAATGCTGTAAATACGTACCAGAATAGCTGAATTTGACGACATCATTGGTTATATAGACCTGTGTAGGATTCTCGACGTACTAACAATACATCAAATTATGAATGTGACCACACAAACCAGATCTCACGGGCGCAGGGTTCGCATAAGTGGTACGTGAACCACTACACCATTGACTGTAGGAATGGCCTAGAATTGACTTCTATCCAGGAACGGCAACAGATCAGCGCGAGCAACATATATGCACTTACAGGATTTGGCTTCATCAACAGAGAGGTTGAGCGTCGTCGAACAACGAAATATATTTGAAACGAGTCATAAAGTATGTCCGTCGCTTTGTGATATCAGTTGTGGTCACCTAAACATTATCCAAACACGTGAAATGCTTGTTATATTGCTTACAGAACACATGTACGAGGCCATTTTTAGTGAACAAGATGAAAAACGTCGTTAGTCCGCCAGCTTTGGTGTAATTGGTACGTTGACTTAAGTGTAACCTGTACATTGGTTGCCAGACATAATTTGACAGAGATGCTGGTGTCGTGAAGAAGGAAGTGTGCACAGGAAAACAATTGTCCAAACTTTGATATCCATGATGTTTACGCACCTGTAATATGATGGAAGATTGGGTGCAATAGCGCGAGCTGGTAATTCTCGGCCATCTGGATCATCTCGAGCAGTAAACTGCAACCTTACGCATGAGATTAACACAGCAGCGTTTACTGAGGGGAGTTATGAAAGAAAGTAAAAAAACATGGACACATTGGGAATTGAACCCAACACCTCCCGCACACAGGAGCCTAAGCAATGCTAAGCGGGCGTGATAAACCAACTACACCATGTGCCCGTATATTTAGATTTCGCCGTACTAACCTGGTTCCGAAAGTCCTCACAGCTTCGCTAACTGTCTGCCTCTCGCGAGTATGTGCCTGATAGATTCCTTTCGGCTACCGTTAGATCAGAAGAAAACTCAAAAATTGCCAACACCAACCTCGTACGCCTCGGGCACCTCCGTCTGGTTCAAAGGCTCCGTCTGCACCCGGGCCCAAAGGGCCTCGTAGACCCTCCCATCATACACGCCTAGGGCACTACAGCCAACATCATGAGTCCCATTCATCGCCAAGATGAAATCAAACACAAACCTGTCGAGCTCCCAATCTGAGAAGCCAAACGCATCCGTAAGCCTGATCGCATTCGGGAGTAACTCTTGACAAAAACTTGCAATCGCCTTTCGCAGGGTCTTTGTCTGGCTGCCCTTGATGAGGTCGTATGTCAAAAAGTCCGTCAACGATCCTTCGACCGTTGATAGGAGGTACTGCGCCGGAAAGTCGTGTCAGTCTCATCAAGCAAAGGATAGAGGTGCTTACGAGGGTGAACAGCACTTTCAACACCTGGGCATCCTCGACTCTCAACGAGTTCTCTGCGGAGCTGATCATCTCTAGTACCTGTGTAGCCACAAACGCCTCTGCAACTGCCTTGGAAACCCGCTGCGTGATACTGGTGTCCAAATCATCATGTATTTCCGCCGCATCCCTCACCAGCAAGGCAGCACGCCATTCAAGCAACAGCACGACCTCAGCTGGGTCTTTCCATGAAAGAACTGGAAGTTGTTGCTCTCTATGGAGAAGCCGAAGATATCTCGAAAAGGGCGAAAGCGACGAGATGTCATTCTTTGAAGCTTTGAGCGCCGCTCGTAGGACCTGCTTGTCCAGGACAAAGTTCTCTCCTTCAAACCTGCCGATATGTCAGCACCACTATAACACTCCGAAGAGCAAGGAGAAGCCCACGTCACGCTGGGAAGGTAATCCGCATAGAGCTTGCCAACTCCTGCAAACGCGCTATATCCGTGCCCTCCCATGGACCGCCTCGCCGATTCGATATCGTCCATAGTTATCGTCGTACATAGGATTTTGAGTCCGCTAGTGACAGCATGCATTTCAGGCAACATGGACATGTCTCCAGATGCTAGCTGATGCGAGAAGGCGTCGAATGACGTCAACTGCAGGATGAGTATTAGCGTCCATTTCAGTAACCTGAGCGACAATGTACCATGGTTCGGCCCAAGAGGACATATGTGTACGTGCGCGAGAGAATAGGTAGTAGTCGGCCATACACAGATGGATATGTGATAACTTGACGCTCGAGGCCATCTGCCCCTTTTTCACCTTGTCGGCGGACGGTAGAATATCGTATGGCGATGGTAATAGCTATTCTGGATATCAATCAAAGCCAAAGGTAGTGGGTATCAGATGCACCTCGAGCTACAGCAGATCCTGAATGAGATATCATTCTAAAAGCGGAGATATCAGGCCAACACTCGAATCTGAAGATGAGTGATCTGTACCCGGAGCGTATGTACATCATCTGACAATGGCATCTCAGCTGCGGAACAATATTAACAAGACGTGATCCTTACTCCGCCATAACTTAATTTTGCGTGGGGTGGCGTGACATAAGTACCATCTTCAGTGACCCGAGCAAACTTGGAGAGCATATTTTCCTTCGGTATCCTGTAATGGTCAAACCGCGCGTATCCATTGTCAACAAGACTGTATCCGTTCATTGCCTTAGGGCCTGTTGAAAACTTAGAAGATATGCGGCATAAGTCTCTAAGAAAGCATACCAATATCGCCCGCAATGATGCCAGGAAGAAGCTTATGGTCCTCTGATGAGCCGATTAGCAACCTAGCCAGGAGGAAGCCATAGGATAGACGAACCCAAAGATCGAAGCGGCACAAAAAAAAGATGGGGTCCCACATCCTTACCCTCAGGCAGGATCAATTTCGCTTGTAATACTCCGTGAGTCGCGGTCTTCCCAAGTGCTCCAACCCACCACTTTGTGCTCGTAAGCGTAGGTGAGTTGATCTCGAACTCTTGTGTTTCTGGAATAAAGGTTGCAGTCGTTTCTAACTGAGCAACGTTGGAACCATGGCCGAGCTCTGTTTGCAGGTAGCATCCAAGGATGCCACGTGTAGCCACCAGTTTTGCGTACTTTTCCAAAAGGACGGGTGATCCTTGGCCACTAATGACCGGTTCAAAGGCTAGAAATGTATGGATGGATGTGATGAAATCATAAAGAAGCTATCGAACGTACCATCGCTGTGTAAATCCGAAGGAAGGCGGTCATCTATGATTGAGAAGGCGACGGCGGTGTCATCTTTGGTCCATCCTAAGTCCTGCTCGAGTTGATATATGCGATTTGTGAGCCGCTGTCCACGACTGTATGCTTCCGCTCGGGTTATAAAAGGTCTGGTTCGTATCAGTACAGAACAAGATATCCTCGCTAAAGCGCACCTTTTCGTTTTGTCAAATACGGGGTCGCTAGAAAGAACCTTTTCAATCCTTTGCTTTTGCTCCCAGCGCTTGAGACCGTCTACATCACATCGTACATGAGCACCCCAAGGCAGAATATGAAACGAAGGCTACTTGCGGTACACAAAGTTCCTCGTTGCTGCAATATCAATGGTGCCGGCCTCGCGCGCATTCTTCATGTCGCTAGCGTTCTGCATGATGAAGGTCGGAAAACAAGCGCTGTCAACGTTTGACCGATTTAAATGTGTTGTCCGGCTTGATGGGTAACCGAACCGACGAACCGCCCGGAATCCGATGGGAGAGCATCATACCTGCTGATGGCAATATTTCTAGTTTCTTTTCCTGCATAATGTGCCCTCCAAATGGGCAATAATGGAGGATCAATAACAGTCAACGTCGTGGTCGTGAACTGAGACGGGGCAGTCACAGTCGTCACGACTGTTGCCATGATAACACGCCTGCGGCGTGGGAACATGGCCGTCTGAATTTTGAACGGTCGCGCAATCCGCCCCAACAACAGTGTGAGTATTCTTTCCAAACACATTCAGGTCCTCGAACCTGATGATTCCAAGGGTAAAAATTGAGGAGATATCCCCATATTTGCCGTCTGTTCGGCCCAACGTTCGGACCTTAAAAGCTTCAAGTACTAAGGTAGGGCTAATAATTCCCGGTCCGGTTAATAACACGTTATTTAGCATTGGGTCGTGAGAGGGTATTTATTCACTAGGTTATTAACATTTAATAACAATGGTGTGGAATGATGTTAATAACGTGCCAAAAAAAAAAGGACTTTCTAACGAGTTAATAACGAAAAAGCCAGTTAAAAAATCAAGAACAGTTTATATATCCCAATCATCCATCTCAAGTCCCTCGACATTACTGGCAAGCCTCGATGTTGTTGGTGACTCGAACAATACTGCGAAAACTGCTGCGGCATCTGCCCCAAGGCTGATGTGCTCCAGCCAAATATTGCCTTGAAAGAATTGTTAATGGGTCCTACTTCATCTTCCGTGGGCTCAAGAAATTCTATTTGGTCGGGACGAAAGGAAGTAAATGGATGTAAATTCACCCTTCTTGGAGGTATCCAGTTGAGACAGTAAGCCTGAGAGTGGAAACCGATCCCTAGAAGGGACAGAAAACACTACTCACGAGGAAACCAACAGGTACTGTGAACGACAAATGGTATTGAGCGCGGTAGACGTCTACAAGCGCGAAATAACAGGGAAAGGAAGGAAAAAATATATCGGACTTGAGGTCGCGAGCGAGTATTTATACGAGCGGAAGCAAAGAAGGACGAAAGTATGGAAGCAAAATATCGGTCCGTGCGCGTCATAGTATTGTGATTTTAATGCAGTTGCACTCCAGCTCTTAGTCTGTTAGTCACTAGGTAGACAAACTCACGAGGAGCTTCCTCTGCCTATGCCTTATATTTATACTATTTACTACCAAATTTAGTACTTCTGCCCATTTCCTCCGGATTCCTTTCTTACTAGGCATGCAGAGACATGCCATATCATATCACAACAGAATTTTCAGCAGACCAACTGCCGTGGAAATGGCATACTAAGTGTAACTAAGTTAGCGCAAAACATACCATATTGGTAAGCGCACCGCCACCGGCAAGTCAACATACCAGTCAGTATAGCCGCTCGGTCTGAGATACGTGGCAGTGTTTGTCCACATATCCCCTGAACCCCATCCTTGATCCTTCGCATGGGTCCACAAAATGATTAGGACACTTAAGAACGTATAACTCATGGTAAGAAACCACATTAAACTTAATTTAATCAGTTTGTACCTGTACATCATAGGAATTACCACCCCAAAATATGAAGAAAAATGCGTAAAGAATTTTCTAGATCCCCATCGTCCAACCGGGTGTCCCGGCTTGATGATCCGTTAACCCCTGGCCTACCTTAATGTCAAGTATCAGTATTTCCGAAGTATTCCCCCCGCCCTGGGTTCCAGGCTATCTCATAGCTCATCAGTCTCTATTTTGACCTCGACGAGGCCCACTAGGGACCTATTCTTCCGCCTCGACTGCGGGATAATGGAAAAATAATAGTGCATACACGTTCGTGAAACAGTAATGCCGTACTCTAAACTCGTTTCGGCTGGACAGTAATTCATTGATTCCTACGAGCACCGCATATTCAATTTGACTTGCGATTTGGAGATGGACGCAAAACCTCCATGTATATCACTAGATATCACTCAGAGGGATCGTACTGAGATCTGACCGCCGTTAACCATAGCTTTGTTCTGGTACGTTCAAATTCAAGTTCGAAATAGAGAGAACGTGCGACACATCCATAGGTATTATTCGGCAAGTCCGTGATTCCTACAAGCACAACGTTCGTATTTCTGCTATTATTCCCATATCCTCCTTATCCATATTCGTAGGAGCGTTGGTCTTCTTTGAAATGTGGCGCTTGATCTTCGGGCAGTTTTGCCCTGCTATGGAGCGCCCACGAGCAACAATAGGGTATAGTTAGCTTTTCGCGACATGAGATAGGACGCCTTCAGATCGGTATA